TCCCATGACATCTTAGTTGTGTGTGTATGAAACATTCGTTCCCATATAGTTTAGACTATTACTTATATTTTAAAAATATAAAAATTCCCGATCATATGCTCAAATTTTTGGTGGTCTATGTTAACCTTAAAATTTAATTTAATTTTTTTAATTGAACAATAATATAGTGTGAATTTGTAATAAGATCAAATTGAAAAAAGGAAAAACATTTGACAGGTTGGAAGAAAAGTAGTTGACAAAATGTGAAATGAGAGTTTACCGCCTCCGCGTTTCGATATTTTAAGGTGAAAAGTTCAGACAACGTTGTGAAGTCAAGCGGGACCGGGTCTTAAATTACGTAATTACGGTCAAGATCTAAGGGTAGTTTCGGAAACTTGGGCGACTTGATTGGCGTTTTATTTTTGTTAATTAAATCCTTAATAGCAAGTTAGTAACAATTATGTTAATAAAACTTTGAGACCCGAAAAAATAAAACCAAAGTCCAAACGAAGTTGGATAGGCGGAGGGAAGTAGCAAGCAAAAGACAACAAAGCAACACAAGAACAAGAGAATCTGCTTGAACAGCAGAAGGGGGGCTTAATCTCTTCTTCAAGTTATTTGGGTTGTTGAAGGGTTTAAGCTTCTCATTTTTTAATTTCATTTTCCATTATTTTATTTTGATTTGTTTCAAAGAAATACCAGCAAAGATTGTAGTGAAAGGAGGAGAAGTTGGAAACTTTGTTGCTGAATTTGAATGGTCTTTATTGGGGAAGGCTGGGAGTAGATCCAGAAGCAAACCCAAGTCTCTGATCCGATCAGTTCTCTGTTAAATGGTACTTATATTTTGTATATTTCTATTGGTTTTTTGTTTTTGTGTATATTTTATTCATTTGGAGTTCTGGGTTGTCATTTTTATATGGAACTTGTGGATGATTTGATTGTTGTCATTGGTTTACTTTCTTTGTGGACTGATCTGTGTTTGGTTTGAAGTAGAAAAGAAATTTGATTTCCTTCGTTTGTGTCATTTTGTCTGGATAGATGCCATTAAGATTTGTTCATTTATACTGTCATATTGAAATGCCCATCTTGATTTAGTGAGCAACTCTTTCGAGCTTCATCTTCAGTAGCATTAACATGTTGGCAACACTGTTTAAAGCCTAGGAATATATTTGATAACAATGGGACTTTTGTAACTCAACACGATTAGTAATTTTGGATATCAGTTTTGGGGGGTGTTCATATGCAATAAGCTACTAATGGTCTGGCCGCCGATTACACGACCATGACTAAATCAGTCACTGAACAACAGATAGGTTTTGTTGGGTAGCAGGAAAATAGAGTCTTGGAATTGGAACTGGATGCCCTTACTTGAACTTAATGACATGGTTGCTTTTGTGTTGCCAGTAATTTGGAATTGAGTTTGAACTTCAAAGGTTCAAATGTTCAAACTATTCCATGCTGAATATAGCTTATAAATTGAGTTTGGCTCACTCTGTTTCTCAAGTTTACATATACCAATTCTTATACTTAATTCTGAAGTTTCCTTGGTTTTGAAAATTTAAAGAAAATCTGTCCTTTGCACTTAGGGTATTGTTGCTGGTACTAAGCAGCACCTGTCGTTATTTGTT